CTCACCTCTAAAACCAAACATTTCATGTTTGTCTTTTTTTTTCCGCTCAAGAACTCTGGCTGCAGTGCCTCTATGAACTTTGAGGAATTTGATAGCAGAAAGAAACAAATTATAGCGTACATTTACACGTACATACTTAAGCTAGCTGAATGTTAAGGGTGCAAACGTTGGCTGGTGTTTTTAGGGTCAACTGAGGCAAATACTTAAACAGTTCTGCTCCACTATTCAGGACAATCCAAGTCAGTCAATCCACAGACTCAATGAACAAATACGCTTACAGTGAGTTGAGGTTGAAGTTCATGTACATGTATGGTACCTATCTTGCTCAGTATGTTTCTAACTTTACATCACTGACTTCTTTTCCTTCACCTGAGTGGAAATTGCAGAAAGCTGGTGAAACTGCTCTACAAAGTGCTTATTGGCTTCTTCACAAAATTAAGAGGAAAGGTTACAGCCTAAAATGTAGAAATCTACTCTTCTGAATATTTTGGCACAGTTGTAATCACCAGATACCATACACTGAGTTACTTGCACCCACTTGAACTACCGGTGCCTCATGTCAGATGATGTCTTAACACACAGGGATTTATTGAAACACGGAGGACAGCTAAACCCATTCCAACAAATTCTGTATATGTGCCGCAGTGCTGCATGATGACTATACTTGTCCTCATGCTCAAGTGATTCCTGTACACCCGTTGAGGTTCTAACTAGTCCGTGAAGGTTGGCCGTGTGCGGATCCCTCATGTGGCCATGAACCGTGGCCGAGCACTGCAGCAACTTCAAGTACATGTATATCCCCCATGATATACATGTACAGGTACGTGTTGCCCCAGTTTTCAAAAAAGTGATGATGCGTATAAAAGAAATGTCACATAAATCTTGATCAAATGACCACCAAGGGTCAGCGCTTGTAAATTCCAACTCTGTAAAGGATGTGTTTTTTGGTAGTATTTTGTCATTTTAAAAAGCCTGTATTTCCAACAAAAAATAATGCCGCGCCCGGGGCAAATTCGACATGGAACAATCCACTGGGGCATTATTAAATCCTAGTGTGAAAATCTCTCTGCCTACAGGTACCTTTTCTAGCAGGTAGTTATTGATGTGACCCCCAATGGGGTCTCCTTTGAAGTCAAAGTTGATGTCCATGTACTTCCCAAAGCGACTGGAGTTGTCATTGCGGTTGGTCTTGGCATTGCCAAAGGCCTCAAGGATGGTGTTGGACTGGATGAGGATATTCTTCACTCTGTGGGGAAAACATGCACAACTTCATCCACTGGAACCATACAAGCTATGTCTGGGTCTTCCACTATTTGCACCGGTATACATGTATGTATTAAAGCCAATGCCAATTATTCCAATATTGCACGTTCAATTGATAATCAAAATATTAAAATACATTCTACATGCATTTATTTCTGAATCAATGAAAAACAACAAAATAAAAAAGGTCCAAATTCAGTTACAGTGTTATCTGTTACAATGTTTAAGTTGCATTCGAAACCTTACTTCAAGCTGTTATAAATGAGTAAACTTAAAAACATGCACATACACTGTACGGTCCAGCTGAATGCATGTGGCAAACACAAAGGCACAGATTTTCTTCTCCACTTTGTTTATTTTACTTCATTTTTTTACTGGACTTTCAGTACAAACATTGAGTTTCTGGATAATTCCACGGTTAAGACACTGACACATAGGGAAGGATGTTCACAACGTATCCTGTTCTATCATATGGTGGTACAGGTGTACAAGGTACCATACATGTAAATGTACAACCTGTTAGGACCTACGTGTACTCACATGTAGACTGCGAACTCTAGTGCTGTTTCTTCAGAAGTACCCTATCTCTTTATCACAAAGATTTCTTTTTCTTTCTGAAATTTGGACTTTACATTAGGATCAGCAACATTGTACATGTGCATGTACAGGTACAGTATGTGCTGCCATGATAACAGACTGACGCCTTTGCAACCTCTATTTTTGGGTGTAATGTGGAATAAAAACTCCATGAAGTTGGAAAAAATGTAATCATACGTGAAGACAGGACCTTGCTTCAAGGTCGTTAATGTTGCCATGGTAACAGACCGACACCTTTACAACCTCCATATTTGCGTGTAATGTGGAATAAAAAGTCACTTAAGTTGGGACAGAAAATGTAATCATATTTGAAACATACTGCAAAGACAGGAACTTGCCATCTGTTAATGTTGGCTGTTGTCTAACAAATGTTACTGCTCCTTAACAGAAGTGCCCAACATTATCATTTTCTTTGAAAAACAAAATGTGAAACCTACGTTGATATTTGCAAGGAACTGATCTCCTGCTTTTGAGGGGATTTGGAAGGTTGAATAAATAATCCAAATACATTCAACTACATGTGTATTTGTTCTCACTCAGACTTAGGCCTTGAGACATTCACAGTTCGAAATCACATCCAGCCCTTATTCGAACACAGCGGCCTATGGCATTAAATCTACTGGTATTCCACAAAATTAATGCCTTTTTTAAAACATACATGTAAATGTATCACAAGCGGCTCATGCAAGATCACGGTCTGCATGCATAACATGTACATTGAACGAAACACCAAAAAATTAAATACTTCACATGCACAAATGCCTGTTCACGCACATACAAAGTTAAGAGAAAAAAAAACTTGTACAGCTGCCTGCATGACTATTAGTCATCCTGTCCCCTGCAGGAGAATGTTAGAATAACAGGGTTACTTTTTAAACTGATCAACTACATTTATGTACATTGTATCTTGTAACAGTTTTTTGTTTGATACGCTGTGCATACACAAGCCCCCCCCCATAGTTCTGCTTCCTACATAAATGGTATCTGAAAACGGTGAAGAAAAGTAATGTTTTTTCGGGGGGGGGGCACGTTTTCATGCTGATTCAGGGCGTGGTTTTCTGGTAAAACATGTCAAAAGCATTAGAGGTCAGGTGTCAGTTGTTTCAAATGAAGCAACCAATACTTTAAATGGGTAACGTTACTACTGGTTGTAGGGCACGTAGTCCAATGAATCTTTGTGCCCATACACTTTTTCCTCTGTTTCATTTCCATTTTCACATTATCCCAGACTTTTCCCTTCAAACCCTAACATCCTGATGTGTCCTCCCATTTCAGTATGATTTTACACACACCCTAGGGGGTTAGGGTTAAAGAACGTAAGGGTTGAGCCGCTGACATACACATAGGTTAGATCAGCACACAGGAAGCACACATGTTGACATCTATTATGTTTTGCTTAAAAGTTCGTTTTTTTGGTACCTGTGTCAAACTGAAGACCCAATACAAACATGTTTATTAAAATTCAGAAGGAGTATGATGAAATTTAAACCCTTCTTTACATATACTTATAAGCACTCTCACACCTTTAGTGACACCATGAATGGTGATTTAAACATGAAATACAAAATTTGATTTTGATGTCATCTAAAATGTTCAGAGACCCACCACGTTACCAGTGGCTAACACGGATCATGTACAATATATGTATTCGTGAATCCACCTTCAATGTACACGTACACTTGCATATTGTGGAAGTAAGCACAAAATGAATTTACGTACATGTATGTTCAACTATTGCCAAGTTGTTATCTGTTTCGTTTTTAATTGCAAATTTTTGATCAAGCCTTCCACGAAATCTGGCAAGTAGAGGTTCAATTTCACAATGACTTCCACTTCTGAACTACAAATTCGATATCGAAACTTTGAACACCACTTCTGTAATGCATCAGCCATAATTCCTACCTTTCTACTTCCTGCTGTTTGCTGACGTTAGTTACAGCTGCTATGTACCTCATGATAATCTTGGAGGCTTCCGTCTTTCCAGAACCACTTTCCCCTTAAAGCAAAAGAAAGGAAACAAAACTGAAGCCCTCATTTCTGATCACTAAACGCTAGCCACAAAATGTTTACACCTGCATCTACAGGTAGGTACATGCACTGTATGTGAAATGGTTCCGGACTTCTTTGCCGTTAAAAAAAGCCTTGGTATTGGCAGTAATGCTTTTGTTTTAGCACCATTGAAACACATAATGACTGACCAAGATGTTAATCCCTGTCTACATGTACGTGGAAATCAAGATACTTGTACTAGAAAGTTGAAGTACAACAATGCTGCCCAACAACTGAAGAAAACTGTAAAGACAAGCACAGAACAACAGTAATCATTTTTACCTTACCATAAAATTTAGGTTAACCAAATATTCAAATTTACATCGGCTCCAGACATTGGACTTGTTTAAGCAAGAGGCCATGGGTCTGAGTCCCACCCGAACAAGCTTATATTTTTCACCCGAAAAAGTTCTGAGAGAGCATGGATCATCCAGTGTTGGTATAGGGAACACAAAAAACTTCAAACTTACGGCAGTGAAGTTTTCATATGATTCTTGTCAATCAGAGCAAGTTTTCCTCCAGTTCTTCAGAATGTAAAAACTAAAACCGTGTTCACGCTGGACTTTTGGGGCAAAACTTACGAAGACTGCTGTCATGCCGACAGCTGGTAAATTGTCAAAATTGTCAAGTGTCAAATGTGGGTCATTAGTTTTACATTTCTGCAGCAGAAATTTGGCAGGGTCAAGAGGGTCACAGAAGACTTACACTGTAACTTGTTAATTTTTAGGTTGCAGAGAAGTCCCATATGGACAACCACTGTAGGGTAAAACATGTCCGATAACATGAATGGTCAGGGCATGCCTTCTGGTACTAGGTACATGTACACCCTACGTATTGTGCCCCGTGCACAGGCCCAAACACACATACAGGTACAGTACATACATGTAAATAGAGGGGACTTGTGATGCCAAATGAACGACTTGACAATGTAGGAAAAAAACTCTAAAAAATTAAAATTTGTACCAGAACTTCCCTAACGTCACCTTCGCACAAGATCGATCAGAGGGCACCCCCATGAGATTCTAAAAGGACATCCAATATCAGCAGGTTAGGAACGGTCAAGCGTATGTGTACATGTACACGTGTATCAGTAACGGTACTTTCCACTGCTTGCAAAGAATCCAAGTATGGACACAGAGAAGAATTACCATGATGGAATGTTAGCAAGCACTCGCAGTAATTTTCAACAATTTTTAGTCCAATGTTGAACATGGCTTCAGAATGTGAGCTGTATGGTACCGGTGTTTACAGATTGTAATATACATGTACATGTACATGTATTAGTACATGTGGTTCATTTTTTGTTTTAGCCAGACACCTCCCTTTCTACTTTGTCACAGTGAAAGTGTTTGCGTAGGATGTTATCTCAAGAACCACCTCATTCACCCAGCTCCTTCCCACGCAGTCCCTACAGTCACCCAACCTCAATCTTGCAGAATCAACCACAATTTTAGCACAAAATCATTCCTCCCGAGTTGGCCAGATCTTCATGCTGTACAACGTGCATTTTGGAAGACCATTTGCAAAGGGTGTGATATCTTCAGTGAACCCTCTGCCTACCGGAGATGACTATGCAGGTGTCCCTGGCACGCCTTTTCATGCTCTTGTAGGCTGCGTCGGCGATGGCGAATATGTGCGGGGGTCTTTCGTAGATCTCTCTACCCCGGTACGTCTCCACTACCTCGGGCCCATAGATGTTGACTGTCCGGTACGGATTGATGGAGACTACCACCTCCCCAATGTAGGTGTATATTTTGCTATGCTCAAATCTGGAATTCAAAATGGCAAGCATCAAATGTGAAAATTGTTTTGGAAGCATTTAACAAATGTATCAATGTGCACACATGTACATGTGCAGTATACATGTACAAGTGTACAAATGAATTCCACCTGCTTGTGAAATTTACTTAGTTACTCCATACATGTAGGCATTTCTCATGGTGGCTCCTATTCTTATGGGTGGCCAAAGCTACATGATGTACATGTATATCCTCCATGGTTGGTTTGAAAGGGAGCCTTTACTGGATAGTTTTGACTGATGGTTTCACATCATGGCCAAACGCAAAAATGTACATTATGTACTTGCATGATTGAAGCATCAATCGACCTATCAAGAAAATACCTGCCAGTCTATTTCTATTATAAATATTGGAAAAACTTTTCAATTTCCATTGATTTACAGGTACATGTACCTGAAGTAGGAAGAACTGACATGTACATGTATGTAAACAATGGAAATTTCACTGAAAGAAAAACTACATGTGCATGGTGAACCATTATTCAAAACTTTGCTGAACTACAGGTTACATGTACATGTAGATGGGATCTGAAATGCTCAATGCCATCCACGTTCAACTGAACTCTGACAGAGCTACACTACCACTGGTGCACATACATGTATATGTACGTACATGGTACATGTACACCATATACAGTACATGTACAAACCACAGTGTATAGTACTAGTCATGACAGTGTGTACGGGCAGCAACAGCAGCAGGTGTCCACTTGTGTCTTCAGCAGGTCTACCCAAGACATCAAGAACCTCCTCAGACCACAGGGACATCACACTTACATGTATTAAGTTAGCAATTTATGAGAGACTTTTCAGCACTTACACGTACATGTACATGTATGCCCAAGTTCACAATGGCTCCATGTGACTGTGAGGTAAAAGCTGCTTTTCATTTTTATAATCCTTACCATTCTGCAGTCCTTTCTCAGCACTTTTCTCCTTAGAACATACAGTACATGTATATTTTACAATAAAAACTGCCAGGATGTCTGAAGTCTTACATTTACAGTTCCTACTAGTAATCTTACCTTTGTGCATTTACCATCAAATGCCCATATGCTTTATTCCCTCTTACGGTACCTATGTACAATGTACATGTACTTGACTACAACACTATCGGTACATTTACAGTACATGTACTAAAGTTTCAATAACTACATGTACATGTACACATGTACAGGTAGGGCCCAAGTTTTTTTTACCATGTACTTGTGTACAATAAGTGCAGGTACACATGTACCGGTCTCGTACATATGTGTACATGTATGGGTAGGCATTCACCGTGTTAAGGGGACAAGTTCTTTTGTTAGGGAAACTTGAACCGAGTTGTGGGGATATTTCTGAGTCCCCGCAATGTTTTCGGTCCCCACAAAATAGGTGAAAATGTTGAGTGTATGTCCCCACAACTACGGTGGTGGAGTTACTCTACATGCAGTGTGTGCGCAGCAAGTGCATCCTGTTTACAATGTACACATACATATGTACACCGTAGGCCCACTCATGTACATGTACTGGTATGTACATGTAGCTGCTGAATGGGGGAGTTCAAATGCCTGTATCAACACATCTGCAGAGGCAGGTTACAACAAACATGCACCCGCACCACACCTTCTTTGAAGTTCAAGCCCACCTACTGCACAAGTGCATTCAAGAGCTTGGTTCCAGTGTACATGTATGTTTCCAGGGAACCAATAATTACACTGCCCCTATCAAGGGACTGAAGAAAGATAAGGTAGGATAACAGATTAGATAATAATAGTGTTGGAATTGACATTCACTGTTTATGCCCACCTTATGGGTACTGTCCATGTATGTGCAGTAGTGTCACTGAGGACTATTTAGAGTGAATAAGCCTAACATTCAGATCAATTCTGAAGGATTACTGGTACAATAATTGAATATGTAAATGTACCTGTACACTGTATATCATTTGATGTCTTTTTAATAGTTTTATTTTTTTCAATATGCACAGTTTACACATAACTTTGAGGCAAGTTTTATCTAAAATGTTTAGTATATACTGTAGGTGACTTTAAAATTTGTTGCAGGCAATGAAAACAGCCAGCACAATTACTTCTTAATCTACAACAAGTAACATAAGAAAATTAATAAAAATATGAAAATTGTATCTATAGATGTATGTGATCTCTCTTTTCCTTGCCATACTAGTGCAGGTCTCGACCTTTGTATTGAGACTGATGGAGGAAGGAAACCTTTCCTGTCATGAAGCTGGCATTTGTATGACCAAAAGAAAGTTTGCAAATGTTGAGTTTTGATTACAAAGTACACACTGTTCATTACTTGTAACAGTTTTGAATCCTCTACTTGTAAGTGGATGCTTAGCCTGTCAAATGGACTGGTCTCTGGGCAGGTACATGTACGTGTTCCAGAACAATACATGTACATTGTACATGTGTGTGTAGTGACAATTAGCACAAACCACAGGCAAAAGGCATGTACATATACTGTACATGTACATGTATGCAGGCATACACCCTACATGTACACATTGTACATCAGTAGGCCAGACTCACCCAACACATTGGTCAAGGTTGAATGCTTTTTCAGCAGGTCTCAGCGGCACTGCAAAATATGTGTTTCAAATCAGTTATACCAGTAGCATGCTACAACAAATTGGAAATTTCAGCAAACTGCTTGTCATTTGCCTCTGGCACATATGGTAACCATTCAAGTCTAATTACATGTATATATGGTAGTTAAAGCCAAGTGGCAGAGTGCAGTGAAAGTACATTATCCACAATGGAATGCTGCAAGTCCAGGCAAGGTAAACACAAAAACATACGTTTGGTTTACAGAGTACATGTAAGTGCGCCTGATTCGCCCCCAAAAAACTGGAACTCATGACTTCCAAATATTCCAAACTGTGGCAAACCAGCCCATTTTTCGGCTGCCGGTAGTACTGATGGTGAAATGCACCATATTTCAGACATAGACACAAGTCCATCCCCAGTCCACCCACATGGAGTCCCTGTGGGGTAATGTGTTAACATTCCTATGTGCTGACTCACATGGGGTGTTCATTACAGCAGACAGCCCAAGTGCCAGACAGGGCAAAAATAGCTGCCCATTGTTAGGGCCATCTCATGCATCATGGAGTGTGACATTAAAATCTTTTAGAAAGTACACACCTAACAGAACATTCTCTCATTAGACTGAGCCAAGCCTCATTAAGAGGTGAGATGAGTCAACCATGGGGGGGTGGTGAAACTGAGATTTTATCCTGGAATTCCATGAGCTTATGTACCAAGAATTTTGAACTTCAAATTGCTTCATAATCAGAGTGACACTGCATTCCACATCAGAGACAAAATGAACATGCAGAATCTCTCAGGAATATAAATAATAAATCTTGTAAAATAAATTTGCAATGTACAAAAATGTACACAATGCACTGTACACCAACAGTTGGGCCTGTTACCCAATCAAGCAAGACACATACAACCATAAAATCAGCTAATTGAAAGATGCCCGGGATGCTGAGTGCATGCATAATTCAAAACATGACTCAGCAACATTTTTATTTGAAATTAATGTCCAAGAATTTTCTCGGAATACACAGCATGAATTCACTGCGCTTAAACTCCTTAAGAATGTACATGTACCGGTACATGTTTGTCGAACACCCTTCTCTTGATTTAAGAACTTCTCTTGTCTCAGTCAAACAAAATAATGGAACATGTGCACTGCAAGGCAAGGATGACGGTCTACACATGCACCGGTACCTTTAACTGCTCTAAATTATGCATGTAGGATGACATACATGTACCAATACATGTACAAGTCTTCATGTGGGATGCAGTCTGTCACATTTTATGACCTACACATATTGCTCCATGATCTACTACAATGTACCGGTACAAATTGCTACTGTACATTGTACTGAAAAACAAAAAAGGTCTTGTAACTTGTTGAAAAGCTTTGTTCTGGTACACTGTATTTTCCCTATTGTTAAGTTCCCTGTCAGGCTAGAGCAATTATATATTTAAACATTTGGGAATGTGTATTTTGTTACACCTGTTCTCTGAAGAAAAAAAACCACAACCAACATTTTAGCTCTATTTTATCTAGAAAATATAATAAAAAAGAGCCTGAAGAGACTACCAGAGACCCTATGAAGAAGCTTCTACTCTAAGGGCTCTTACATGTATGTGGGCCCTGAACACCGGTCATTACAGACTTTGCATTGCATTCTCATTTTGTGTGCTTCGCAAATGAATTCTTGGCTCTTCAAGTTGCATTCCTACTTAAGTTATTTTGCACTCCCACTTTCCCCAATCTTACCTACGTTGTAAAACCCTGTATCATGTACGGGCTATGGCACTGTGCACCAGTAGGTTAACCATGCATAGTTATTTTTCACTCTAATATGTATGTGAAGGTCAGTTATTATAATGAAGCTTAAAAAATAAATGAATTGAACTGAGCAAAACTTAAACCATTCGTACATGTACAAATGTACATGGAGGATTTTTTTTCTTCTTAGGGAATGATCTCTGAAATCTCACAAGGTCAGAATTCCATCTCATGAATACAAATTTACAGTGACAGCATGGTCATGGAACCTGTAATCAGCTGTAGAATTGTCATGGTAACAGCTCTAAGTTGCCTAAAACATTCACTGCACATGTCCAGTTGCTGTGCCAGCCAAAAACTGATTTTGAAGAAAATCGGAAGGCCTACCAGGTCACAGTCCAGTCCAAGTCAGATCACGAAGATCTACTGCAAAAAGATTTCTAATATTGATAGGCCTACTATACTGGCAGTCAATCACCAACCGTTCGTATTATGACATTTCAGTTGAGGTGCACATCACAGCTTGGGGGATGTCCCTGTATTTTAAGTCCTTTTATTTCGTATCAAAACCAGTCCCCTTAAAGAGTTAATGTCTCCTTAATAGGGGACATTTTTTACTAAGTGGGCTTAGGTAAAAAAATCCACTTGCTACTGGTGTTATCAATGTTTTCTTCCACATTTTTTTCATTTATACATGTATTTAGTTTTAAATTCAGTTGATTTTCTGAACTTTGTGCCATGTCACTTGATTAACTACATGTATATCATTTATAAAGAAAAGATTTTCAGAAAAATTATTTTGATGCGGTCTTTTCCTCACCTTTTACATGTTCGTGCCATTGCAGACTCCTGCTTGTAATCTCAGAAGTAAATGGTAGAATTCTTTTAAAATGCAGCCTTGGGTGTTTTCTTCTGCTTAATCAATAAAGGCATTAATAAAAGGATCCCCAGAGCCATGGTAGGATCACTAGGAACACTCAAAAAAATTAACCCTATTTAGAGCGCCATTCCCCCCCCCCACTTGGTTCTTGAATAAACGGACTTCTCTAAATTATACGGACAGTCTTCTACATAATTACGTAGAAGTGATGTGCACCTCCAGCCTAGTAAAGAAGTATAAAAAGCCTAGGCAACAACTTACAAGGCTACATCATGTACATGTACTTTGACAATGTCATCTCTCCACACGCTTTGGACAATCATGGAATTGGCATCCAAATATAACATTCTTGAGACCTTTTTTCCAAATTCCAGTCATACATTCAAGGTGCTCAACAAGGACATATTCACATAGGCCTACATGTATCTTATTGGCTACATAGTGTGCAAGGTTAATTGCCTGACGTACACCACAACCTGACAATGCACAAGGTCACATAACCCAAGTTAAATATAACCGGGGGTCTCTACTCGACAAGCAATGCTTTTTAGAGGCCTCAATCCACTATAGCACTGTATTGTTACCACGAAATGTTTCATTTAGAAAAATTAAATAAAACTGAAAGTGAAGTCCTACTGCTAGTGAAATGAAACACGGACTGTTAGTGTTAATGTTAGACTTAGCAAAATGAATTAAGCCTAGGCCCTAGTAACTCACCTTAGCTTTAAATTTTCCATAAATGCCTCTTCAGTAATTTCATCCAGAAGGACAAAATCTCCCTTCCCAAATTCTGCTCCCTCATCGTGCTCAGCCATTGTTTCTTCCTGTTTCAAATTCCTCACTGAAAACCCGCCGCACAGGTTGAAATCCTACGGGACAGCTCTCCGTTTCGCTTCAGTGCATGTTTGGGAAAAAATAACGTTAAATCTGTGTAGTACATGAACTGTACATGTAGTGTCGCAATGCAATGAACACGTCCGTAACGTCTGGTCAGGTACTGCATTCACTGTTCATTCGGGAGGGTAGAGCTACGTCAGGGATGTAATAAAACACCGGGATTTCTTACATGTAGTTGGTGCTACGCCGGGCACGGAAAGTGCTAGTTAACTTTATGTAGCCCATGTACAATGTACATGTGCATGTACTGTACGTACTACATGTAAGGAATGGGGCTGTCCAAAAAGTACGTACGCCCGAAAGGGGGGAGGGGGGAGGGGAGTTGGTGCCGTTGCGTACCGCGTACACCATGTGTACAGAGGGGAGGGGTTCAAGCAAGTGCGTACGTACGCCAGTATTGTAGTCGAGTCACCAGGGTTGAGTCCGAGTCTCACGCCTCGAGTCGAAGTCTCGAGTCGCAAACCTCGATCCGAGTCCGAGTCACGACTCACAAACCTCGAGTCCGAGTCACGATTCACAAGTCGAGTCCGAGTCACGATTCACAAGTCATGAATCAAGTTGTTCAGCCAATTATTCTAAGTGTATCAAACTATGGAGGAACATCCATGATCAAAGTTGTAAGTTTGTCTGGTTGACTCCTCAGTGGATATTTAGCCGTACATAAATAGGCGAAGTGGAAAATGTGCAACGCGACGACGCTCCACCCATGCAAACCAGTGATAGCACTGGTGTACACAATTTTCTACGGCGTAATGAAGATACACGACTCGACTAACGAGTCACCAAGCTCAAGTCCGAGTCATCGTGGTCGAGTATGGGCCATTATCCAATGTGACTCGACTCGAGTCCGGGTCCTGGACTCGAGTCATACAACACTGCTGTACACAAACCAGAACTTTGCCTTTAATTAATCTTCATCATATCAATACACTTTCTCAAACAAATAAATACCAGGATCAGCTTTTGTGTGTCGAGGAACCATTTAAACACAGTATCCTCCACCGTCCACCCCACCATTTATCCTCCTGTGCCAACGCCCGTTTCATGTATTAGTAAACTGCAACAGTACTCATGACACAAAGATTGCCAGCGTCTTCCGGAAACGTACAGGTGCCCTCTACGTACATAAGAGAAAAAAGGCACCGAGATTATTTTTTTTGTTTTTATTCAACAACATCTTTGTTCAGATGCCAAGTAATTATTGTTTTAATAAGCTTTTGTAATTAAAAAAAGAGGGAAGACTGTGTCTCCAACAAATGGGATACGCAGCTGTAGCCCCCCACAGCACACGCCAACTGGACCACTCATTTGAAGCAAGATATGGGACGAAGAGACCCCCCCCCCGCCTTTGTATTGGTCATTGTTGATCGGAATCTCGGGAATTCTTTACAGACTTCTAGGGGGATGTGTTAGATAGCAATAGTCTACAGTGTGTACAGGGATTGGACAGGTAGGGGGGGTACCCCTCCGTCCCATATTTTGCCTGGTATAGGACCACTGTCCGTGATGCCCCGGTGAACTGACGGCTGTGTGACCGACATGCCCCCCCCAATAAAATTTCCAAATACCAATCAGGGAGCACAGTTTATAAAAAAAAAAATTGCACTTTCACTTATCACAACTGCTGCCGTCGGGTGCGGCCCTAGCTTTTCCAACAGAAAAAAAAAACAACGCTTTCATTAATTTACCTAGACCATGAAGCGCATATCATGCCAGCCGAAGACAATGGCAACATTTAAAGGAGACATGAAATTGGATTTTAATGACTTCAATCCGTGTTGGAAAGCTTTGCTTCCTTTGTAATGATGCTATGATTTTCCATGTCTTTTGTGGCAAAAAAATTAATTAAAAAAGAGTGGGATTATTTCAGACCGTCACAGCCGAGAATACACCCCCCCCCCAAGAACTGAGCTGTCCCTGGCCCGACTTGGCATGCATATAAAATACTAATTATCAGTACAAATGTGGAATTTCAAGTTAATCCATATGTATGGTTCAGTTGTTACGTCTCGTTTGACGTTCAAGGCCATACGTGTGCCAGCCCGTGTATATTGAGCACGGTGGAAAACTAAACGTTTTGGGCTGACCGGCAGCGAGGGCCGCGCAAGGATGGTATGTCCGATTTTCACAACATTGGTGTCAAAACTTGTACTGACTTCGTAGGACAAGAAGTCACTGAAATTCTCCTGAATGACAGCTTGGCACCCAAATATGATCTGCGATGATACCGGGAAAATGTGAAGGAGCGGATTCCGCCCTCAGGCTGGCTCTTGTAGGGTTCGATTTTCCTGATAAGAGCTCTTCAGGACCAAAAACCACTATATAATATACATGTACATGTACTTGCAGTAAGCAGAGGGGAATCGGTGCAATGGAGCGTAGAGCGACGCTGGTGAGATATCAGAACGGGCACCTGGAGGTGAACACATTTTACTAAAAGGGCATGGAAGCAAAACGCTTGTAAATGTGTTATGAACCTTTCCAAAACTTTCAGGGGTATTACGTAGGAAGACAGTCTTCCACACAAGACCCCTCGCCAACCCGCTTCGTATCGGCATCGGTGATTAAAATGTGAGGCGATACTGGCTGGACTGAAAATGCATCTTGCTCGCGACCGGCCACTGTCTGCAGGACTGTGAGCAGGATGCTGCGGAAAGGTACGATACAGACACTACGATCTTGGAAGTTCCTCTTCTATAATATGCCCAAAAATACAAATTAATGAACTTAAAGTAATACGAGGTAAAACGTTGCACATAATAGGCCTGAAGAAAACTTAACAGTTGTGTAGACATGAAATTTAGGGGGAAAAGATAAATGAGATGAAAAGGGCCTGCGACTGGAATAAAAGTAAAAATTTCAGAAAGTTTTTTTGGCAAATTGAATTGATGGCAAAAAATACAATAGATTTGCAAGCTATGTTGAAGTCCATAAAATGATATCTAAATTAGGGTTGAAAATCAAATACGGAGGAAATGAAAGTGTTCTAGTCGTTAAACGAGGGTAAAGGCTGCAAAATCATATTTTGAGGTAGAATTTATTTGTGATTAACCCTTAGAGCCCGGGAGAAGAATCCATCTCCCCCTCCTTTTGCTGATATTGCTGCAGTTCATTTTTTCCTTCCCTTATTGAGCTTTCATGATTTTTTCTTAGCAATGTCTTGTGGTCATTTCGATACCAGCCTTGTAAATATCACAAGTATAACCGTTCCCATGCGGGGCATTTTATTTGTGAGAGGGGCCAGCCTTGCAAATGGACACTAAGTTTTCCTCTTCATGCAAGCGTGCTGATGACCAGTGTGTGACCTTGAACTTCAAATGACCGGAACAACAAAATCATAGGTCAGGATGAATTGAATGAGTTTTTACAAATCAGACATGGAGCACCCGAATTCTGGGGGTGGGGGTAGATCCGCTCCCCGGCTGTGAGATGAGCCGAAAAAGGGGCTGGTCTCTAGAAACTTCATTGTCTAGAAATAATTTTATAAGCGCTTAACAAAATCACAGATTATTACATGTTTTGTTTTGTTTGAACTTAGAAACTATTTGGTAATTGTCTTCTTTAAAAATGACCTATGCCACGTAGTGAACAGAGTGAAAACTTTAAATTTTGTCTCGCAAAGGAATCAGTAATAATGATATAAATTCTGCTTCAGGAGTCATGAAAACGCAGTTGAGACAATATTGACAGTTTTTTACAGATTTGTGAAAGCACAACACCACCAGAGCAGTTTTTAATCACTACAAGAGGTATTTGACCGCAAAATTAAAACCATGTAACATTTTGTCTTCAAATATGACGGGCTTTGAAAATTGAAGTTCGGCTTAACAAAATAATATTGTGCCAGGTGGTCTGCTTTTAAGAGACATTTTGTAACATGAAATCGGTTGCAAATTACTTCATACGGTCAGAATCATCGAGTCTGGTATCCAGACTAATTTGGTGTTTGAGGCGACAAGGCATTGTTCGTCGGTGAGGGCGCTCTACTGCAAGCTGGTGTCTGTGAGACCCACAGACGGGTTATTTATGTCTATGGTGAGACCCACAGACATAGGTTATTTATGTCCATGGTGAAACCCACAGACATAAACGCATAGACTGCCGGTCTTGCGCGTAAAATCGTGATTTTGAAACGTATGGGTAAACAATGAACGAAGCGACGGATGGTAGTACGTCCAGTGCGCATTTAGGCCTACATTGCCTGTATTTTTTACGTGTACTTCCAAATGCGTTCACCTTTTTTGCTCTTCGGTGGGCCTACTGCTATCTCTTCTTTTCAAATGTTGCGACCGCATTGTTTTGAATCCCTATTGGCCAGGTTAAGTCAATAGAGGTTTTTTTTTTACAATCGAAAAATGGCTTCATATAATTTTATGGCTGGAATTCTTTAACTGTGCGTAAATTCCCTATACCAAGGGGTGAATTTGCCCATAGTTTTGATTTTAGTCGGGCGCCGCGCAGATCACGAAAACCCTCTCTAGTTTTGAATAGGACTTGGCGGTCTACGTAGGTCACTGGTACCAGAGTATCATCTGCCGCCTCGTAGTCTTTGATGTATGGCTGATGCGAGGTTTCGTGAATCTTGAGCTGCACTATTCTTGGTCGTACACTGAAATAGGGACTTTGTGTACAAGAAATGTGAAATGTACAACATGTACTGAGGTCCATTTCGCGAGATGTACATGTTGGAAATTCGCGCCTATAAATTGAATTTACCATTTTTGTCAGTGTCCCACTTTTCCCATTTTGCTCTCCCAGTTACTCCCGGATGCATTCAGACGAATATGACATATTTAGGTTATAGTTTTTCATATCCATTGAGATGTTTTATGACCCAAGTCTCACAATATTGCCCCCCCCAGGAGTTTGCAACAGTTTGACCAATCAGCTCAGTGAGCGAAATATGTCACGTTTGGCTTTGTGATTGGCCAACACGTTGCAAACTCTTGGAGGGGCACTACTGTGAAACGTCCGTATTGCAAATAACGTGAAAACATAATGTAGGTTAGGCGTCACAAGAGGAAGCAGGGGCCCTTGTCCCATTCCCCCAGAAAAAATCTGTTCGTTGCTGATGAATGCCTCCCCATAAATCCCCCCTCTCCATGCCCCCTTAAAATGGCGACGCCCATGCGTGCCAACACCTAAATAATCATCAGCTGCAATAATAACAACAGACAATTTGGTCAGCTGAAGAACCTGAAAAATTTATTCATTTAATCCATTTCTTTACCCAGGGTATGCCCAAACAGCTACAAACTGGTTTCCATTGGGGCCCTGCGATCATTGCAAGTTAAAATAATCGTTAGAAACTCACAACGAAAAGTAAAATTGATAAATACGACAAGCATCAATATTTACAAATACAAACCACTAAAATATCATACACATGTGGACATTTAAATAATCAAGGCATTAGTTAAATACTGATCACGGGATGGGCAAAAAAACCCGCAAAAGCCCTATGGGAATAAAGAACACGGGGAAACTCCCGATCCGGCTACTATGAACATTTACAACTTCATAGATCAGCATTTTGGACTACACAGCACTGGCCATGGCATTCCGTAGTTCTGATTTAGATGTCCCTAAGGAGTCTATACTTCTCAGTTTCTCTGGCAAATTGTTCCATGTTTTTGCACCACTCACCGCAAAACTTTGAGCATAGCATGGCTAAAGGGACTTCAAGTACCTTGTCAACTGAGTATCTTGTTTCACGAATCTATGTGAATGGCAAAAACAGATTTGTCATATACAGTACATAGGAGTGGATTTGTTTAGACATTTAAAAGCATGTAGATCTTAATGTAATTGTGGTAAATTACTTGGCATTTATTGTTTGATTGGTATTAAAAACACCCCAAGCTTATACTTCAAAGTAGGACTACAGTGAAGTATTGGTGTAACAATACATTACATTCAGTGGCCTAGCTAGGATTTTACTAGTGGAGGGGTGCGGAGGGGGCACCAGCTTTCCCTGTCGGAGAGAGAAAAAAAGAATGACCCACAAGGGATAATGAAGATACAATTCAAAAAAACGACAATTCAAATAGAGCAAAAATGTTTCCTAACTCCCTAATGCAGGATCAATTTTAACTGATCAATTTTCAACAGTCAGCTTCCTCCATCGTGAGAATCGTACATCTGCTCATTGGATGTGATGAAAAAGAAAAAAAAGTTAAATTTCTTGTCGAGAGAAAGAATACAAAATACAAAAGACACACTAAAAGAGACTACGCGCAAAATAACGAAGCGCAAAATAAAAGTCAACAAATGCGCCATGGAAAGATAGCATGAACGACTATCGAAGAGAAAAAACTCGAACGGTTATCAAAGAAAATAAGGATAAAGACAGAAAAGCGACAATGAAAAAACTACACATGCAGAATATTTATAAAAATAAAACATAAAACACATAAAACAAAACCCAAACTCCCAAAGAAATACTACACAGCAAAACAAAACACAAAGCAAAACAAAAACGACAACGAAGAAAGTTGACCAAACTTGTGCTAACTTATCGGGTTCCTACGTTTCCTTATTTGTCAGAAGTTTGCTTCATACAGTCCTGAGCAACAAGAGGAAACACTAAAAAAGAAAAAACACTTTAATTCGAAATTAAATTCATGAAACTAAATGCCAGACCTTTAACATAACGATATATACAATACAATAAACTAAACACTATCGGTAGGATCGAAGGCGAGCTCGAAAACACCGATCAGAAACGCGTCACAAAAAGAAAAAAAAAGTTTATGAATAGTTATTCAAATGGAAATCGAGATGGGATTAAAATCTCACATTCAGAAAGAATGTACATTCAGGGCTGGATCCTGGAATTTTTCCATGGGAGGCGTCAGGCCAAAGATATTTGAATATCTCATTTTTGCGGACAAGAGGAAACGATGATGAAACATTAAACATTTGCATACACTGTTTACAATGGTAATGGTGCGCTTACTTTATTTTTTATTTTTTTTTTACTTTCTTGTATTTCAGGGGGGGGGGATCTGACCCCAACCTCCTGGATCCTCGCCTGAAGTTTTCCGTTCAAAGTAATCAGAAATACATTCGAATTCGTTTGTAAAAGTATGTGTTTAATTTCGTCATTCAGTGTACAACTACACCAATCGTCGTTCAGTTCGACACCCCGTGAATCAACAAGGCTTCTACGCTTGATTCTTCGTCTCTTTCCTGTTCATGTGCTGATAATTTAGCACTTTCTGCATGTACAGTGATAATCACATAACGGTTACGATGGCAAAAACATCTTTAAAGCCGCGACAACAGAAACAAAAGGAAACGTTCTATTGCTTTTCGTTGTTAGATTTTGTGTGATAAGTTTTTTTTAAGCAAGAAATGATTCAAACTGACATTTATGTTTTTCGGGAAAATTTGAAAACAACAACGAAAGTGATTTTCAGGTGGTCGACTATGTTCTCTGCCATAGTTACCGTGGTCCAAATAAGATTGCAGGCTTTCAAGTTTACTTTAAGATGGGACAATTAGTTAAAGTTACGTCATTCGTCTTAAGGGTGTTCAATTATGCTGTCGGTTCTTGAAATTCCAAATCAAATGGAAATAAACCTTCAGAGGGTGTTTACCCTTCTGGATTTTTCTGTTTCTTGGTTTGTTCATTTTGCTTTAGTTTTAAGTATTGTAATAGCAGATGTTTTTAATTTGTTAATTGAAAAAAAGGTTACAAATATTTTGTCCTTCTTTTAATCTCCATCTCAAAAGTAGGTTCTCTCAATTCCATCACTTGAACTCTTTCGCCTAATAGGTGACTGAGTCTAGTTTGGAATATGTGGTCCAACTGTGGCCAAGTTTTTCCGTGTGTTAGATACCTTGTTAAAATTAATTAATCTGGTAATTGGTCAGTTTCCATCATCCACAATTTCAAGAGATCCTTGGATACTGCCTTTGGAAGCCAAGTTTGATCAAATCTGTACGGTCTATGCTGCCATGTTGATCTGCTTGAATTTAGCAATCAATTAGACGAGAATAAGAGTAGTTAAAGCTGAATTGTGAATAAAAAATGATTTTTAACAACTACCTTCAAATTGAAAAAAAATTATTCGAAAGAGCAAATAAATAAAATTAGATTTCTTCGCTTGCATTTTTAATGATATTTGTTTATTGGTGAATCCGAATGGCCAAGCTTAAACAGATGAAAGCTGAATATGAATATTAATGTCCATATGTACACTTTTAAATTGAGTGACCACCTTTTTAAATTCCACTTTACATCTGAACGATGAAAACTGTTTTAACTCCTTTTTGGATTGAGCATTTTGAAAAGAACTTTTTTCTTTAACATTTAAACAGGTTGACTTGTTTCCTGACATCTGAAGGTACCATTTCTGTGACCGTCCTCGTCAATCAGGGAGGAGGCTGTACATATATTGGGACACACTGTTGCCTACCTCGTGATTCGGGGCAAGCTTTTGCACAGCGACTCCCACTTTCTGGAATGGGCAGGTTCCTTTGTGCCCTTATTAACCACTCTTGTAACGCCACCCCATTCAGAAAAGTGTGTATAATTCTTAGTGATATACAGTTAAGTGGACATTCTTAAAAAGCCTGTCAAAGAACGTACAGTTTACTGGACCTTCTAAAAAAATCTGACAGAAAAAGCAGTTGTGACATTGAGGTTATTATAACGCCAAACACATCGAGAAACGCTTTTAACAAAGTTCACCGTTTTAGATGTTCTGCAGGTTAATGTTCCCTCTCTGAACTTTTAGGTTAATGGTGCGCTAATATTTTCAGTTGTGATATACTGAAGGAGAAACCAGTGGTGTAGTTAGTATTTACTAGTAGGGGCATAAGGGGGCACCATGGAGGGGCAGCTTTCAGTGGTTTTTTTGGGGGGGTAAGCTTTTGTTATCCTTGTTCAATATCCACTTATCCGTTTTTTGTGGGGGCACCTGGAATTTGTGGGGCACGTCCCCCGCACCCCCCCCCGGTGGCTACGCCACTGGAGAAACACTTACTGTTTTCCTTGCACTGGTGTTTATGTAACAGGGACGGGGACCAGTCCCGCTGTTCAGTTTAATCATTGATCAGTGCATATGGAGGAAGGAATCAGTGAGACCTCTAAGCCTATTTTGTGTAATTGAGATTGGTCACGTAAACGTGACTCGCAAAGCCCGTACACAGTTTGTGTGAGCAGTCAGGTACCAGGTCAGGCCCATTGTGCAACGAGCCAGGGCTGCGGCTGTGATGTTTTCCCCTATTGCCACCATGCTTCACCAGCTAGCTGCAGCCGTAAACACATCCTACGGCCTATGCTTAAAGTATACGATGCATGACATCATAATAGTAGAGTGAGAGGTAAGTGAGTAACTTCCAGGTAGGACCAGACCCACTTAAAATTTTGTACTTGTAGTTCCATATACGGAAAACGACAATTTCCCTTAAAATGTCATTCTCGCAGTCGGAGGTTATTTATTGCATTCATGTCTGCAGCAGTGCAGGTCTGGGCTAAGTCTCCATTCCTTCCTATCGTAGGCCTAGGCCCCTACACCACACGTGATCATAACTATAAGCCTCAGTGACTAGGGATTTGCATGTTTTCCTCCGTTTTTGCTGCAACAGATACAAAATAGGGCCATGGGAGTAGAGAAATACTCTGTGATCAGAGATAGGGCCTAACTGAAACATTTTCGGTACAGTGTGGGAGATATTCATAGCACATAAATAGACCTAATGGAATTTCAGGCACATTTGATGTACATGTAATGTAGCCAGAACTGTGGGGTCCGATGTCCGCAGCTCTGGGGTTAGGCCTAGTACATGTTGGCTAAAGCCCTAAAGGTTAAGTAAAGAGTTTACTCAATAATTCAGATTCTCCCCATAGACCATAGGCCTAACACAGTAACAGTATTTTTCCCATGAGTTTAGAGTGTGAAATATGGAATAGCCTCCTATTGACCAATCAGAGAAAAGCATCAAGACTTAATGATGTCATCCAGACCACGAGAATAAGTCTAAGTTACTAAAAGCCATTCGAAAGTGATAACATGTCCTAAAAGGGGAAATTTAGCTGGGAAAATCCCCAAACATTTACTTGGATAATAATACTCCGGCAAGTCCCTCGTTTATGGAACTCTTTCCACTTTGCCTACTAAACAGTTTGTGGAAAGAATTCTATATATGGACACCGTTTGACACCCTGTGCACAAATCCTATGATGTCTGAATTTTTTTCCTTTGGTGCTTGGCACGATTGGCCTATGTGCACGGTCGCCCAATTGCGCTTGGCGATTGGTAATGCAATCCTGTAATGAGATTTCCAACTTCATAGGGCTGAGTCAATGCAAATAATTCACTATTTGAATATCTGACCTTCAGTTTGATTGGATATCCAAATATTCGGTTGTATGGACCAGCAAATTGTTGATGAACAAACCATATACAAAATCAGTTGCAATAATACACATAATTGTACATTATGATCAATATAGCTTCTCTCCTTTAGGAGTATCTCCAGCCATGATTTAGCAAGATTTAAGAAATGAACAAGATTTCTTGCCCTGTTGAAAATTGCTATACCTTTTAAATTATTTCATTAATAGCTCACTTTTGTAATTGTTTCAAGTTTTCAACATTTTTTCATTTAAAACAAAAGAAATTTTCCCCTCCTTTTCTGAATTTTGCATTTAAATATTCAAATTTGAAAAATAATATTCGAATATTCGGCAATCGATTGAATATTCGGTTATTCAGATATTCGGCACAGCCTGACAAGTTTACTTTCCATTTGTGAAACAACCGTGAAGTAGAAAGGAAAGGCAATTGCCTGATGGCAGAATTATCAATAAGAGTTCCTTAACCCTAACCCTCCTGAATCCTTCACCTGTTGGAGGATTGAGGAGGGTTAGGGATAATGTATATACTTCACTCCCTGTGCACAAACCCTATCTGCCTGTGACTACACGTAATATGAGACTTGCCTGAAAACTTCCAGGCCTTAAGTGTTTTCTGTGTGAATACCTGAATGTTTTCCCTGCAGAATGTGACTTTTTAGGTCATGATCTTGCCTTCCAGTGGGGTCCCTATATATGGATTCTTTCCAAATGGTCATGCAGTAAGGTTTACTGATCACCTGATCGTACAGATTGTACAGATCATGTACATTGACCGATCACATCCAACATCACCGTGATAATGTGGCACTGAGCTGAGGGTTTACATGTACATGTAGCTTTGCGTACGGCCCAGATCATATGATCATAACCTACCACAAGTCGATATAGGCCTAGACGTTGACCAGGACATAGTAGGCTTAGTAATAGCAGGTCTACTGTCTTCAACCATGAATCTTTGACTTGGGCCATGATTTCAAATGACCAGTATCTCAGACCTAAAATCATGTCCAGTTTTGTTGTACAGTAATGTTAGGCTTACTTTGATGTTGTTGACTCTTCATAGAATTTTTACACAGCCAAAGACATGGCATCAAAGTCCTTTCCCATAATAGTAACTTAAATGCATTCTTTTCTCCTGTACAGATATCACCTCACATCTCAGTTCTGCAAGACGAAAACATCCCTTGTTATTGAGGACCAGCTGCCTTAACGTCAGTGTGTTGAGATGCCTAACACCCAGTACTGCCCTGGCAACACCAGCCTGGTGCCCGTGTGGGTGGACCATGGCCTGAGCCGCTGCTTCTTGGACACAGTTGTCTCTTCCGTTCTCCTCTTCATCCTCCTGGTACCCGGGGGCATCCAGATCCTGCTTTTCCTGCGGCGGGCGGTGCTTGTGGAGCAGCGGTTCCTGGTGCGGCCGCTGTGGTTCCGTCTGCAGGTGGCCCTGTCAGTGGTGATGGTGTTGCAATATGGCACCAGGCTTGCAGTGCTTGGAATACTGGGTTGGTATGAGCAAGGCTTTAAAAGCATTGGAACAGTCGTACACTGCTCCATATTTGAGCAAAACTCTGTTACATATAGTAACTTCAATATTCTCACAAGGTTTAATTAATAGAAAAAATACCTGCGCACCTTTGCAGCCACTTTCATTGTTACACAGTGCTCAGTTTCTCAGGATTATACATGTAGGTGAACCTTATACAGATTTACAATTTGGCAGTAATGGGCTTTGATGCTTCCAGAAAAGAATGTGCCTTTGGTTTTTTGCTCAGTGGAGGATTCATCAGAAGGATTGCGGAAGCTTCTTGGCAAGAAAACCTGGGGAGTTAAGGGTTGGCTATTTGAAACTTAGTGCCAACTTCTGTTTGGCCAGCAATGTTATCTGTTCCCAGGCTCATGGAGTTTAGGGCTGCCCACTGGTGCTGTGACAAAGTGGAAGTACGAGAAGACCAACAGATATTTGACCTATTGTTTTGTATTCAGGCAATGAGGACCATAGAGTAGATCTCTATGGCTACATGGAGCTCAGCGCCTGCTTCTGCATGGCCTGCTATCTTATCTCAGTTGTCATCCTGTCCATGGAGCGATCCCGGACCATGCTGCGACGTCGTCAGTCCGGCCATGGCTTCGTCCTCCTCCTCTTCTGGGCTCTGGCCTTCGTCAATGAGAACCTCGCCTTTGTGTCTTGGGTGAGCCCCCACTGGTGGTGGGGCTTCGACAGCGATGTCAAGCGGGCGGAGCTGGGGCTGTGGGTGGTGCGCTATGTCTGCATACTGCTCCTTTTTGCCATTGGGCTCAGGGCACCGGGCTTGCCGCGGAAGAGCTACGCCTTGCTGATAAATGAGGATAGGGACGAGGAACAAGAAGTTGTAAGTACTGGTGGTTAATAGTTTAGCCCCAATAACAAGTATTGTCATTGCTACAATGATTGCCTCATATAACAAGAAGTGAGTACTGGTGGTTAATAGTTTAGCCACAATAACAAGTATTGTCATTGCT